ATAGTTTATGACTACAATAAAGAAGTATGACTTACAGAGAGTGAAAGCATAGAACATAAAACACTGATGATGGGAGACAGGCCTTCCTTTTAGTGGTTGAAAGTCACTTGCTACAAACAGCTAATTACCCGAACATCATTCATTTCCCCAATAACTAAGATAGAATGACATCATATTGCAGTGGCACCTTTGTGATGTATCGGCAACTTATAGTTATTGGGCTGTGGAATCACTAAACAGTGAAGGAACAATTCTTTGTTGTTCACATGCTGGCTTGAGTTCTGTTGCAGGTGTTGAGGTAAGGATAAGATGGAAGCAACTGCAGCAGAAGGGTGGGCAAAGTGAAAAACCATGGCAGTAGTTCTCAACCTTGGGTCCCCAGATGTTTTTGGCCTACAACTCCCAGAAATCCCAGCCAGTTTACCAGCTGTCAGGATTTCTGGGAGTTGAAGGCCAAAAACATCTGGGGACCCCAGGTTGAGAAACACTGAACCATGGGTTGCATACATTTCTGGGTTTATACTTGTGTCCCATTTCCAAGATATCACATGATGTACATATATAAAAATACAGCTGCTTCAGAACCAGAAAAAAACCAAAATCCCAAACACTCTTGGTCCCAATCATTTTTGATAAGGGATACTCAGCTTGTATATTGGAGGAAAAATCCAGTAAGGTTTTACATTGAAATAAATTCTAAAACTGCTGCAACCACAGGGAGTGGTGTCCTTTGTCTCATATAACAAAGGCTGCATTGTCTTTATGCAATAGGCAATTCAGGCTCAGGTTAATCATTTAGCTGAGAAACTAGATATCCTATGCTGCCTGTTGATGTGTGGGTTCCCCTCCAAAACACTTTGGAAGGTGTCTAAGTTCTATGAGAATTACTAGGGAAAGGAAGTGGGTCTTTCCAGCCTTTGTTATAAATATTTGAAAAGGCAAATGAGGCATATCTGATCTTTCAGGTTCCTTGGAAAGGCTGAGAGGGAAGAGATTGGAATCTCTTCCCTCTCAGCCTTTCCAAGGAACCTGAAAGATCACACCCACAACCTCATCATACAGGACTAGATTTTGTGGCAAACACCAGTTTAACCTCAGTCCCCCTCGAAGATGGTCAGCTCCCATCAAACAACATTGTGTCAACTGTATGGGTGCAGAGGGGTGGAACTGACATGCTGCTACCACCACCTTAGCAATATGGGAAGCTGCGCACACCATGCACACTCCACGCTTCTCCCCATGCGATTACCCTCCAGGTGAGGCAAGCAATCCGGGTGATATGAGGTGTGGGACACTGGATTTTCCACTCCTTGTGGTGAAGCAGACCATTGCCTACTTCTGCCACTGGTTATCCGATGAGGTGGTAAGTCTACCACTCCAAAATTAAAAAAAAAAGAAAACTCCCAATTTCAGACCCAAGGGGTCCTCAAACTTTTTAAGTAGAGGGCCAGTTCATGGTGGTTCCCCAGACTGTTATTATTTATTTATTTATTTCATTTCATTTCATTTCTACTCCGCCCTTCTCCCTTTCTCCCCACAAAGGGGACTCAGTGTAGCCTCATATAAGCATCAATGATGCTATCAACATATACAATAAAAATTTCAATTAAGACCATAAAACTCAATTTAAAACATTATACAATACATTAACACATTCATTAACAATAAATTAATGTGCCTCTAAAACCAAGACCCCGTCAGGTAAATCCAATGTCGCAATGTTCAAAAATTTCCTATCCAAGTTGTCGCTAACCTCTAGTCGAATGCCTGGTCCGAAAGCCAAGTCTTCAGTTGTCTTATAAAGGACAGGAGGGAGGTGGCCAACCTGATGTCCTTAGGGAGAGAGTTCCACAGATGGGGGGCCACTGCTGAGAAGGCCCTGTCTCTCGTCCCCACCAACCACGTTTGCAAAAGTGGTGGGATCGAGAGCAGGGCCTCTCCTGACGATCTTAAGTTTCATGATGGTTCATAGCAGGAGACATGTTCGGACAGGTAATCTGGGCCAGAACCGTTCAGGGCTTTAAAGGTTAAAACCAGCACTTTGAATTGTGCCCGGAAGCTGATCAGCAGCCAGTGGAGCTGACGCAACAAAGGAGTGGTATGCTCCCTGTACACTGCTCCGGTTAACAACCTGGCTGCCAACCGTTGGACTAATTGAAGCTTCCAAGAAGTTTTCAAAGGCAGCCCCATGTAGGGGGTGTTAGGGGGTGGAATATAGTTTGAAAAAACATGAACAAATTTCTATGAATACTCTCTGTATCTTATTTGTGGTGCAAAAATATGAAAGAACAATATAATATTTACAATGATGAACAATTTAACCAACATAAACTTACCAGTATTTCAAAAGGAAGCATGGGCTTGCTTTTGGCTGATGAGATAGTCAAGTTCATTAGGGTTGTTGTTGTGTTTTTGCCATTCCAGACTTAAGGAGATCCTAAGCCTAAAGTTTAGGGCAGGTGTCAGGTAAATGACCTTGGAGGACTGCATCTGGCCTGCAGACCTTAGTTTTGGGACCCCTGATTTAATGCTTTTACAGCTTGGGATCTGGGCTGTATCCACACTGCAGAATTATAGTAGTTTGACACCATATTAATTGCTATGGTTTATTGCTGTGAAAATTTGGGGTTTTTAGTTTTCTCTGGGTGTATCTAACCTGTAGAATTAATGCAGTTTGACACCACTTCATCTGCCATGACTCAAGGCTATAGAATCATCAAAGTCATTGTTTTACCAGGACTTCTGCCTTCTCTGCCAATGACTGCTGGTTCTTCACCAAACCACAGCTCCCAGGATTCCATATCATGGCAGTTAAAGTGGTATAAAATATGATAGTTTAGTTGCAGCTTTTGTCAGAGAACTCTAGTGCCACAAAATACTACCAATCCCATGATTCCATAGGATGGAGCTGTTGTATCTCAGGCTAAGATTCACCTTGCTATCTCTGACAAACCAGCCAAAATTGTGAGGTAGAAAGTTTATTGTGAGGTTTTCCAAACAAAGCAGATTATAAGCAGTAAAAAGATCAGTAGTACAAGGTAAAAATCCAATATAATCCCTTTGAGTCAAAGCAGGAGACTTGAAGCAAAGAAGCAGAGTAAAGTCCAGGAAATAGCATGAGGTTACATGAAGCAGGCTTTTCCCAAGCCCCAAGCCCCAGAGCCGAAGCCAAAGCGAGCCATTTTAGCAACGTTGGAACTGACACAGGACCACTTCCAAGGCAGGTTACTTATACGTTAAACATCAAAACATTAAACATCAAACAAGCAGCTAACGAGCAGTTTTCCCACCAACAGATGAGCTCAACACTTGGCTGCAAGTCGTGAACTCTTTCTTAACACCTGGGCAGCGTGACCTTGTTTCCCACCAACTGTCTTATCAGCTACATTCCGTTCTTGTGAAAACAGCGGCCTGTCTCTAGTTGTGTCTCTAGCTACATGAGAAAACTGAAAGCCCACATCTGCACTCTCATTCCCATCATGCTGTTGCTGCTGCTGAACCACAACAGGAGCAATGGAAATTAATGTGAAACTGCTATAATTCTGCAGTGTGAATACAGTTCTTGATACCTGAAGAAGTCCTTCTCAGTATATAGGTCTGTCCGGGGACTCATATCATAGAACAATATCCTGTCACCCAAGCTAGAAAATTGCTCTTATGTTGGTAGGAAGGGACACATATCTGCATCATAGCCTGACCAATGTGAGATATAAATATACTGTTACTGTTTCAGATAGATTAGATGGACATTGACATTATAATACAAAGCTTTAATTTACACTGTGTGACAGGAAATGGGGAAGTAAGAAATAGTGTTTGCTRCAAGTAGAGAACTAGTAAGTGGAGAGCAGACCAAATGTGAACTTGAGTGTTCAGACATTCGGGGGGGGGGGGGGGGAGATGTATTCAGCTTATCTGGTCTTATGGTTAAGCTTGTGGTTAAATTGCATCAAAAACCATTCCATGCTGGAAACTTCCTGAATGTCAGAAAGTCTGTAGAAAAAAAAAATAGGTTGTATGAGACCAAATAAGGAGGTTCATAAATAAGGGGGAGGTAAAATGTGGGTAATGGGAGCTGTAATCATTGGCGGAGCAGTACATGGTAGGGACAGGCAGCCAGGATAAGCTGCATTCTCTAGTTCCTTCCACCAATAAGGGGGTTAGGGGAGGAACCATGAGGATGGAACCTGACACAAAGGGAAGAAGCACCCAGTAACATATGTGTTTATTGGCTGTTAGTTGCACCCATTTTGCAAAATTGTAACTTTCAATAAACTGCATGAAACTTTGCCAATTTTGTTGAGTTTTCATTAATCCGATTCTCAGGAGCACACTTTTAACACCCAAAAAGCACTGCTATGTGATTTCAGCTCTGCTAAAATCATGAGTTCGGGGCCTGGAGTGCCAAGCTTCCAAAGGGCCAGATTAGAATGATGGTTGAAGGCAAAATCAAAGACCAAAGAGAATGTCAGCCCCAAAGAACTGACATATTGAATTGTGAACAGTATTTTGACAGCTATTCAAGACTGATGCACTGGCTCCAGGATCCACTCCCTGATTGGTCCGGCACTCTGTCCAAATAATTGCTGGTTGATCCCAGCCATGATGGGAAATTTAATAAACTGTCATTGGATTATTTTGAAGGTCTGTGTCCATTTTTTATCCATCCAGGGGAGGGATTCGCGGGAAAAGAAATGCAGTGGGGTAAGAGATAATGAGCTAAAATGGGTTGATATCCCAGCTCCAGTGAACACAATGGGTGCCAGTTAACAAAAGATGTTTAGGGTGTCGTTACATACAATGGGGATTCCACAAAGGGGATTAGATACACGTTACGTTCTGGATGAGGAAATATTCTCAGGATAAAATCAGGTTCGAGAGAGGAATTCTCAAAAATTGCTAAGTGTTCTTTTAAGCTATTTATTGCTCTGAACCCATTAGCACTCTGGCATTCTGGGCTACACCTTTTTTTTGTGGTCACCTTCACTGAGTCTCGGTAGGATTGTTTACTTTGAGGGTGTTGGACACATCACTGTGCTTTCGGTCCTCTCAACTGAAAGAAAATGCAGGAGCAGAGTTGGACAGAGTCCCGATTGGTGCTTTTCAAAAGGCAGGGTTAATCATTAGCTGCAGGATATGCATAGTTGGAGTTGATACAATTTTTTTCCCTCAGAACCTCCACACCTCTTATCAAGGGAAAGGAAGTGGCTTGAGCTTCCTCAAAGGGCCTGCTACAGAAAATACTTGGAAGGAAACTCTTCTAAGAGGCTTTGCTTCTCTTTGGCTCTTCTTGCTCCCTGTTGGATTAAAACAGAAAAAATGGCAGGCGTAAGCAGCTGTATGAAATACTCTATGTTCTTTTTCAACTTCTTGTTTTGGGTAAGTCTTGAAATTTTTGAAAATTACTATCATATGAATGAAAGCTATTTCAAGTATCAGTGAATCTGTACTTTAATAACAAAATAAGATCTGTTGTAGTGGCAAGGGGGAGATTTTAAGAGAGAAACCATCAAATTCAAGTTAAATATGCACTTTGGATTTAAGCTGTGGCAAGGGGGAGATTTTAAGAGAGAAACCATCAAATTCAAGTTAAATGTGCACTTTGGATTTAAGCTGTGGCAAGGGGGAGATTTTAAGAGAGAAACCATCAAATTCAAGTTAAATATGCACTTTGGATTTAAGCTGCTTTAAGAACTTTTAAAGCATTGTGAACATAATGGATTAAATTCCAGTAAAGAGTGAGCCAGCATGATGTAATGGTTTGAGCATTGGACTGCAATGCTAGAGACCAGGGTTTGAATCCTCACTTGGCCATGAAACTCACTGCGTGACTTTGTATAAGTCACTCTCTCTCAGCCTTAGAGGAAGGCAATGACAAACCTCTTCTAAATAATTCTTGCCTAGCTAACTCTATGATAGCCTTGCTTTCTGGTTGTCATAGATTGAAAATGAATGGAAGGCACACAACAGCAGCAGCAGCAACAACAACTATTATAGAGTAAATTGGACTGGGCTGCATGTTGATGAGATGTTGTGAGAAGGAAAAATATTTTTATTGTTGATGTTGTTTACAATGTTCCAGGGATCATTGCTGAGCTAGTCTGAGGAGCCTGGGATCAAGTCTCCACGTTGCCCTCAAAACTCATTGGATGACCTTGGGCAAGTCACACCCTCTCAATCTAACAAGCCTATTCTGAATAAAAGTCAGGAATAATTTAGTAATGATTTGAAAGAAAAACGGTTGGTGGGATACATAGATTTTTCTAGATCAATAGGGGACCACTTGTGTTTGAACCGGATCTCCTAATCATTCCTGATCACTGTATTGTCGAAGGTTTTCATGGCCGAAATCACTGGGTTGTTGTAGGTTTTTTTTCGGTCTATATGGCCATGTTCTAAAGGCATTTTCTCCTGACGTTTTGCCTGCATCTAGGGCAAGCATCCTCAGAGGTAGTGAGGTCTGTTGAAACTAGGAAAAGGGGTTTATATATCTGTGGAATGACCAGGGTGGGACAAAGGACTCTTGTCTTCTGGAGCTAGGTGTGAATGTTTCAACTGATCACCTTGATTAGCATTTGATTGCCTGGCAGTGCCTGGAGCAACCTTTTGTTGAGAGGTAATTAGATGTCCTTGTTTGTTTCCTCTCTGTTGTTGTGCTATTCTAATTTTAGAGTTTTTTTTAATACTGGTAGCCAGATTTTGTTCATTTTCATGGTTTCCTTCTTTCTGTTGAAATTGTCCACATGCTTGTGTATTTCAATGGCTTCTCTGTGTAGTCTGACATAGTGGTTGTTGGAGTGGTCCAGCATGTCTGTGTTCTCAAATAATATGCTGTGTCCAGGCTGGTTCATCAGGTGCTCTGCTATGGCTGATTTCTCTGGTTGAAGTAGTCTGCAGTGCCTTTCATGTTCCTTGATTCATGTTTGGGCGCTGCATTTGGTGGTCCCTATGTAGACTTGTCCACAGCTGCATGGTATACGGTAGTGATTCCTGATCACTGATTATCCTGTGCAAAAATCATGTTGCTACAATGCAGCAGTATATAGAGGGGTATGTGTTGTCTAGCCTTTGCATTGAAACATGCAAAAGTTGTAGATTTTGCTACTAAATATACATTGAACAAGGAGTAGTAACCAATAGTGCCACCTTAATTGACATGATAGACATGATCATGTAGTTCTATGGATACTGTGAACTGTTGAAAAGACAAATGTCTGTCCTACATCCAAACAGACCTGAAGTCTCATTGCAGTCTAAAATGACTAAACTGACGTTGTTGTACATTGGGCATAGCATGAAATAACCTGATTTACTAAGACACTAATGTTAAAATGGAAGACAGTATGGAAACAGGAAGATACTACAAAGAGACTTGCAAAGAGGGGTTTGAGCTTGCAAGAACAGAGCAGAGAAGTTCATTACCAAGGTTCTTAGAGGTCTCTCATTTGTAACATTTCTGGATCCCTTTGCTCTACTCATATATAGGTGTACTCTTTTAAAAAGTATAATTGGTATGCTGTAAAAAATAAACATAAATCATATACGCAGGGGCACAACCAGAGTAGACACACTAATTTAATGGAACGTACATTACGTGCCTTTATCAGATTTCCAAGACGATTTTCAAGTAACTTACCAATTTCACAAGTGGATATACTAGGTCTGTTTTGGTTAGGATTAACATTTTGATTTAGCCTGATGTGTGAAATAGCCCTTTTTAGCATGTTAGCAGTGAATATCTTATCATTTTTCAAATGATTTTATTGAAAAGACTCAGAGGCAATGTGTGATTAACATTTTCATACAGCTTGTTGACCTTAGATGACCTTTTGGTCTCCAACTATATTAGTGGAATATTGACCATCTATTTCCCCATAACCTTTAGGTTGTCTGAGCTGTATTATGCCATCCTAGCTTCATGTAATCTTCATGTTGCTGTTGCTGTTGTGAGCCTTCAACCCATTTCCGATTTATGGCAACCCTTAGGCGAATCAACCATTTGAGGGGGGAGGGTAGTAGGATTTGTTCACAGGAGTGTTGCAATTGCCTTCCTTTATGGCTAAAAAAGTGGGACGTACCCAAGATTACCCAATAGGTTTACATTACTAAGCAAAATCTTAACGCAGGGCCCAAGTCACTATACCACAATGGCTCTCTCCTTATATAGAATAGAAACAATCCTGTGTACCTTTAGGTGCTTTGACTTCTTGACTGCACTTAATTGCACTTTCCTCCACTCAGAAGGGAGGAAAGAGTACGTTTATTTATGTATCATGCTGTTTCTCACAGTAGGATCTACTTTTTCCAATAATGCAGTTTGACCTGCATCATAATTATCTATTCTGACCATATAAAGCAGTTCAACCTGTAATCTGCATTTAGCACCACACTGAGCAAAAATTTAACTATAAAAACAGGTTTCCTTCCCAAGGCGCCTTTTGTGCTGCCATATAATCTATATTATCAAAGCAGATAATTCACGTTATCTGCTTTGAACTGGTTTATATGAGTGTACATTGCCATATAATCCAGTTCAAAGCTGATAATTTCATATGGCAGTGTAGAAGGGTCTAGATCTCATTTATTTCAGTGGTTCTTAAACAAGAGTAACTAGATACAAGTTTGCATATTGATATTATATTATACTAGCTGTGCCCTGCCATGCGTTGCTGTGGCCTATAGTAAAACTTATCAAAGTTGAGGTAGATATCTGGACTATTATGAAAGAGAGGTCCCTACCTATTCCTTCTCCCTTTTCCTCCCCCTTTCTCTACTTTCTTCCTTCTCTACCTCTTTCTTTCTTTCCTTCTTTCACTACTTGGTTTCATCCTTCTCTCTTTCCTTCATTCCCTCCCCCTTTCTTCCTTTGCCTTTCTTCCCTCCCTGTTTGCTTCCTTCTTTCACTTTTTATTTCCTTTTATTTCACCACCATCATAACAATAACAATAATGCAATGCATTGCCTCTGGGACCTGACACCTCTCCCATTCCCCCTAAAAGGGTCTCATAGGAACAATAGCATAATAATAATAATAGAAATAACAACCTTTACCCACCACGTGTTGCTGTGGCCAATCTTCCCTCTTTCTCTCCTTCTTTCCCTCCCTCCCTCCCTCCCTCCCTCCCTCCTTCCTTCCTTCCTTCCTTCCTTCCTTCCTTCCTTCCTTCCTTCCTTCCCATCTTTCCTTCTCCTCTTCTTTCTCTATCTCTTTCCTTCCTTCCCCCTTTTTCTTTCTCTTCTGCTGTCTCTCTTTTCTTTCCTTCCATCTTTCCTTTTCTTTCCTTTTCTTCTTCCCTAACTTTCCTTCCTTCCCCCTTTTTCTTTACCTCCCTTTCTCTTTCTTCCTTCTTTCCTTCCTTCCTGTCTTTCCTAGATTTTGACAGGGCGGGAAGGGGCGGGGTGGGGTTTGGAGGTGGCCTGAAGTAAAAGGAGGTAAGATTGGGGCAGGGGAGTGATGGAGCGTGGGGTTGCGTGTGTGTGTGCGGCGGCGGGGGTGATGGAGCCTGGGGTTACGTGTGTGTGTGCGGCGGCGGGGGGAGTGGGGTTGCGTGTGTGTGCGGCGGGCGGCGGCGGGGGGAGTGATGGAGCGTGGGATTGCGTGTGTGTGTGCGGCGGCGGGGGGAGTGATGGAGCGTGGGATTGCGTGTGTGTGTGCGGCGGCGGGGGGAGGGTGTGTGTGTGTGCGGGAAGCGGCGCGGCGGGGCTTGGAGTGGGCATGGTTTCCGCAGGGGGAACGTTGGCCGGAAGGCCATGTGCGCACGCGATGGAACTTGCGGCTGGGCGCCAATGCGCATGCTCAGTTGTTTTGCCGTTTTGTGAGTGTGTTGGGTTGTTTTTCATTTTGAGTAGATATGTTTGTACCTTGTGGGTTGTGTTATGGGCATGGGAATTTTGGTTAAGTTTCGTTGGGTTTTTTTAGAGTTTTATCCTTTTGCCGTTTTGTGAGTGTGTTGTTGTGTTGTTTTTCATTTTGAGTAGATATGTTTGTACCTTGTGGGTTGTGTTATGGGCATGGGAATTTTGGTTAAGTTTCGCTGGGGGTTTTTTGAGTTTTGTTGTTTTGCAGTTTTGTGAGTGTGTTGTTGTGTTGTTTTTCATTTTGAGTAGATATGTTTGTACCTTGTGGGTTGTGTTATGGGCATGGGAATTTTGGTTAAGTTTCGTTGGGGGATTTTTGAGTTTTGTTGTTTTGCCGTTTTTTGAGTGTGTTGTTGTGTTGTTTTTCATTTTGAGTAGGTATGTTTGTATCTTGTGGGTTGTGTTATGGGCACGGGGATTTTAGTTAGGTTTCGTTGGGGGATTTTTGAGTTTTGTTGTTTTGCCGTTTTGTGAGTGTGTTGTTGTGTTGTTTTTCATTTTGAGTAGATATGTTTGTACCT